GACAATGCTATGAAACCGAAGATAATGTTATGAAACCGATGACAATGCTATGAAACCGAAGATTACTTGTCGTGAAAACGATGACAATGTTCTCATCCCACCCCAACCCAACCCCCCCACCTTTCACGTAGCATCAACTTCAGATAGCAAGTGCAAACGAACGTCAATATGCCCCATCCCACCCCACCCCAACCCCCCCACCTTTCACGTAGCATCAACTTCAAAAATCGCAGTAGTCACACGTTCGGTTTTACACCCGTAGGCAAAAACATGCCCAAAGGTGCTCAGTCCCAGATTCAAGCAGAGGGGTCATCAGTGGTTGAACCATCCATTCCTGCGCTCACTGACCTTCGGTCTTTGCCTTCGTCCAGTGGGTTGCTCCAGCGGTCGGTTGGTCCATCCGAGTTCCAGGGTACCGGAGAGGAAGATGAAGGCGTGAGGGCAATAACATAACAGCGATGCCTCTTATTGGTCACTTCTGTGAGAGCTTCGGAGAGGTCAAGGGCTGAGCATGTCTCATCCTGCGCAGCAAAAGGACGAGCCCATGTCGGTGCTTCCTTGGACTGTAAAAGGAAGGAGCATGTTCCTTCTCGGTCTGCAAGGTGAGAGACCATCGAAGGCGGGAGCTGCTAGCACCTCTTCCCCCTTCCGGGAGGCTCGAGCCAATGTAACAGGCAAGAATAGTGTTGTCACTGTTACCAGCAGAGTGCTTGTGTGGGACCCAGCCAGTACAAACAAACAAAAAATAATTTTTGACCCTCATGGCCCTAGACTGCAGCACGTTAGCGCGCCATCGATGCACCTTAAGGAAACCGATGAGCACTATTCGACCTGCCTAGAAAGGCAGATAGGGATGCAGGTTTGTTCTCTCTTACAGTAAGCGACGTCTTTAGGTGTTCGCAACTATCCGCGCTCGCTTAGCCAGGCGTTCCTCGAGGGAGGTTTGGTCTTGGTTGCTAGCTGCCTGGTACGTGCACTTTCGTCTAAAGGCGAGGCTGGGAGGAAGTGGCGCAGCTGCAATGATTCCCCCCAGGATACCAGAGGAAAGTGCAACCTGGTTGTCCAGTTCCGCGAGGAGTTCACTTCGTTTAGGATGAAGTCGCTCACTCCTAAAAAGCGGTGGGTCGTCGTGGAGTAGGCAGTACTGTTGACTGAGAAAGCGATGAAGCAAGGTCAACTGGGCCTCAGTCGGGCCAGGACTGGCCCAAAAGCCGTCACGCAGCTAGATAACCGAGCGAAAGCCGACCAAAGGCTGTAAAAAAGCGTACGCAGCCCATGTGAGCTGTTGTTCCAAATGTTCATAGAAACGAAAGGGAGTAGCGCGGCTCCGCTCAATGTTCCGTATTGGGCACCAGGCAGGTGGGTTGTCAATAACGTACCGGCTCGCTGCATGCAGTTCATATGCAAACCTAACCAGTTGCGCAGGCAGTTGGTCACGCAAGTGCAGGAGTTGGCGCTGTATGTAGGAGACTGCTTCTTGTGGTGTGCTGCTATTGATGATGACAAGTGGCCACCTTTCGACGAAGGCGTCGATGAGAGCAGGATCTCCGGTTGTCTCGGGCGCGTTGAAAGCTCCGCGGAGCCATTCTCGCACGACCCGAACTGGCTGCAATGAGAGGTGGACGCCTGCGACAGCACAGTATCTTCTTGTGAGTTCATAATGGGCTCCGCTAATATCAAGCTCATAGTGGTCCGCGCCAAAGAGCAGCAATCTGACCTTGCGGGGTAGCCTCTGCGCAAATTTTGATCGGATAGCATGCTTTTTGACGATGCGCCATCTCAAAGAGGTAAGTACCGCTCGCAACTCTAGAACGTTGATATGTTCCGGACTGCCTCGCCAGGGCCAGCCCATGACAGTTTTCCAGGTCCACAATGAGGCTGGGAGGCTCGCTCGAAGACGATGATACCGAAGGGTCTCCTCTGTAGGCGCCTGAACCATGATATCTTCACCTTTTAGGCTGACCAAATTTAGGAGTTTCGACACGAGGTCATACTCCCCTTGCACGGTCATGCCTAATCAATCAAGCTTGACTCAAGAATTGCGCCTTCATGATGCCCGGTCTTTTAACACGGTCCAGGTAGCATATGTTGGTATCGATCATGCAGAGTTCGGTCGTGTTGTAGCTGAGTCTCAACGACTGATCGGGGAAGCGGACTCCAGGGCTTCGCACTTCGAAGGTGTCGCTCAACAAGTCTTCCGGGAAGCCACGGCTCACATTGGTTACCTGACATCCCTGGTCGAAGAACTCCGTAGCCAAAATGAATTGCTCCAATCCGGTCATACTGAGAAAGATGTCATGATCACCAGCTTGCATGAAGTGGTCCAAGAGGTGAAGCAAACCCTTGAGAACCAGATCAAATTCAACCAGTCCATGTTTGAGGGTCAACTTCGCAAAGCGAAGGATGAGATCGACCGTTTGTCCGACTTCAACCAAAAGCCCCTCAACCTTTTGGACCATAAAGATTCAGAAATCCAGCGTCTTTGCCAAGAGTCTTCGTCTGGACAAGATCGCATCTCGTCGCTGGAGGCCCGACTGGCTGCTTCAAGCGCCGCGGTCATCCAGTCGCCTGCGCCTGCTTTCGTTCCGAAGCCTGTGCCTGATGCATCTTCGCCCAAGGACACCGAAGGAGGCAATAGAATGTTGGAGTCGATCATGGAGGCTGTTCAGTCACTCAGTTCCAGAATGTTGACACTTGAATCAAGCCGAAATAGCACGGATCCAAATCGTGAGCCTCGACCTTTGTTCGATCGTTCGCGTGATACAGTTGTCCATTCATCCTCGCCTCCTGTAGGACCTTCTCGCGGACTTCG